ATAACATTAATCATTTGTCAATCTTTGTGATGTAGTAGGATTAATTTCATAAAGTATTAATATCTAGACATTCATATTCATAATTTAAAGTTTTAGTTATAAATTTTACTATAATTCGTTGTGTTCTAAAAGAAGCTATCAAATATCCTCTTATAAAACTTAATCTTGCTTCACTTATTATTCTATTATTTAATACACTAACTCTATCATAAACTTTATCTTTACCGATTACATTAATATATTTGCATAATTGTTCATATCTACTTTTAATGATACTTCTTATCTAATTGATTTATATTTTGTTTATCTTTACACAAATAAATATAATTTCTTTCTAATAATAATTCCACTGATTCCTTTTGTAACTTTTTATCAAAATCTTCTAAAGACATGTCCTAGATATTTCATCCATTTAAATGTACAGTATACAAATTTCCAGAGTAAAGTCCAATTAAATTAAATAATTTTAATTCAATTACAACACAATTTTGTTCTAAATTATTATCAGATAAAAAAAGATCTATAAAAGCATAAGTAATCTTGTTATTTCACAAATTTTCATTATATTTCATAATTATTTGTAATTCAGAAATATATCTTATGGAAAAATTTCTTAACAGCACCTCAATAGCCATATGAAAAATGTTCTCATTATATTCTTGATAAGATCTTAGTGCTTTACTTTCGTGATATTTTAAAATTTCATCAATAAAAGATTGTAAATTTCCATTCATCATTTCATAAAATATTTCATGCTTCTTATAATTCTTAAATTAGTATAAAAAATTTCGTTAATAAACATTATAAACATTATTAATAAAAATAAAATTAGAAAAATTAATTGGCATCACATGCAATCTAACGACTGCCTCCTGTAAATAAAATCTACAAGATAGTGTAGAAGCCAAAGGACAAATAAAATCACTTAATTATTTTAATATATAATACTTTTTCATCATTTAAATTTATCAGAAAAATTAATCAGTACCACATGCAGTCTAACGACTGCCTCTCTTGTAATATAAATAAATATATAAGATATTGTAGTAATCCAATAAATAATTATTTTCATATATAAATTTATCAGAAAAGTCTTAATTATCCGCTTCTCAATCATCTTAAGATAACAATAAATATAATTATTTGTGATAAAAATTCATTTTCTTCAACAGTAATTTCTGTTTTTTCTATAACTATATATTAAAATCATTAATTTAAAATTTATTAAAATCAAATAAATAATATGATCATTTGTAAATGTCACCCTAAAT